TAGAGACTGTAGCAGTGAGGAAAAGACAAGAGGCAGAGATGGAGGTAGCAGAGATGAGGATGTTGAGGTTCTCTTTAGGAGTGACCAGGATGGACAGGATTAGGAATGAGCACATCAGAGGGACAGCTCAGGTTGGCTGTTTTGGGGACAAGGTCAGAGAGGCCAGATTGAGATGGTTTGGACATGTGCAGAGGAGGGATAGTGGTTATATTGGTAGAAGGATGTTGGAGATGGAGCTACCAGCCAAGAGGTCAAGAGGAAGGCCAAAGAGGAGATATATGGATGTGCTAAAAGAGGACATGAAGTTGATTGGGGCGAGAGTAGAGGATGCCGACGATAGAGTTAGGTGGAAACTGGTGATTCGCTGTGGCGACCCCTAACAGGAACAGCCGAAAAAAGAAGAAAACTATTTTGTATTACTGTAATCATTTTTATATGGCTAAGTGGTTGTGGAACAAATCATCTGAGTTTCCATTATTTGTTATGTGGAAATTCGCTCTAATATATGAGTGCTATGGATTACAAGCACATTGCCGGAACAAATTATATTCGCAACTGCATACGATGCAAGAGTTAAATCTTCGGTCCTGAGAGCCTCTGTGCTGAAAATTGGTCATTTTGGCACTTTTTTTATAAAGCTGCTAGAACTCAGATGTTTGGTTTTGGCACATTTTCACTTTGTATACCTGTGTGTAAATAAATGGAAAGTAATGGATACAATTAAAATGGTGATATTTCTTCTGAAATGGGCCCACACCAGACACCGATCTCAAAACAGATGCCTGGCCTTCTAAAGGGAAGGTACTTGTACATCCTGTGGTACGCTTTCTTGCAGGAGTGTCCTTGGAAGGTGAAACCAACTCAGTCTTGGAGAACAGCATTCACAATTTCACAATGATATCTTGAAAAGAAGTCCTGAATTGAGACAGGTGTCCATTCAAGCCAGGGTGTCTGAAATGGTAAAATCTTTCTTGAATGTCAAAGTGTCATTTAGGCACCCTTTGATCAGTCATGACCCCTTGTGCAAGTGCTAGAGAGTCAGAACGTTCCTTTGTGAATCAAGGGGATGTGGAGGTCATAGAACTAAAATTTGGAGTTTACTCTTTTGACCCCATAGGGGGGCAAAGGGTGAGAATTTAGGAGGCTTTTGACATTTGGTATTCTTTTTGACAAACAAACATATAAATATATATGAGTCAAATTACTTGCTTGTTCAACATACTTGGCAATTTATGATTCAGATATACTTTTTTCAATAACATTATTTCTAGAATATTTTAGACAATGGTTTAAGTTAGGGTTGTTTGGGTCAGAGAGTAATCAGCTAAGTTCTTCTGAACAGTGCATTTTACTGAACAGATAAAAAAAAAACATCAAGCAAAATACAAAAAACAAAGCAATAAAACAAGAGTATTTGTAAATGCTGGCAAAGTTTTTCCTTTGACAGATGTCTTTCTGCTTGTAAACACAGTAATGAATGTCAGAAAATAAAGGGGATAAGCATGTAGACTGTAAACCTATTTAATGTTGCCAGCAAATGTAATCAAAACCAAAATACTATAATGTAGGCTGGAAGCCAGAGACGAGTTGCCTTTTTATATGCAATTGTGTGCCACATACATCACACAACCCCACAGAATCACCTTTTAATATGAACACACACAAATAATGATTTACATTATGGCCAAAGCCCATTAGTCCCACCAGAACTCTCAGTCATGGTGTCTCGGCCCTGGTCCCCCAGCCCCAGTCCTGCCTCTGTCATGATTCTGCCCCATCCACTTCCTGCAACACGCTCTTATTCTGTAACTACTTCCTGTCCCCAGCTCACCCTGACTCCCGGGAACTTCATATCATCAACCACATTGGTTTCACCTGCTACTCAATCATTCACACCTGCTCACCACAGCATATAGCAGCTCCTCACTCTGTGGGTAGCTGCCAGATTGTTCAATGCATCATCTAGGCTGTCTGGCTTCTCTTTTCTTCAGTGCCTGGTTATTCTGATACTGATGCCCTCCCTGTCCTATTGACCTGAGATACTGCCACTAGTGATGGCTGATGAGGCTTTGTTGAAGCTTTGACACAGTATTCACACAAATGGTTCATTACTCAAGGCCTCAATGACTCAGTGATCGAGAAGGACATCTAGTGGTGAAGAAATTGAAGTGCAGTCAAGACATCACTTATTGGTTCATGGAGTGTTTGGGATTTGATTCACCACACATATTCCTGTTCGACTACACTACATGGTTTTATGGTTTCAGGCTGACACAATAAAATATAAAATAAATATGGACACATGTTGAAGACCATGGTTCATATGTGGCACTTCTGAGTGTAACCTTATATACTCCTCACTTATATTTTGTGTTATGAAAACATTTAAATGGTGCTACTACATTCATGAGATGTGCTCTACAAATTCAGACAGATGTCATTTTCACATGGGACTGGTGCAAATACAGATTATAGTATAGACTTCGGCAAAGTTTGTTTTGGGGTTCATTGGTAAAGAGGTTCATGGGTATGTGGGTAAAGAGGGTCTGCTTGAAGAACAGGACAGTGGGTGTGCTTGTGTAACTGTTTACTAGTTTTATTTGGGAAATAACAGTATATCCACAGTTTTCAGACAGAAGCAGTTTCTCCTTTTACAGACTACTTCCCCAGCCTTGGAAAAAACCCATTCACATGGCACAGATGAGGCTGGGGTAAACAGGAACTGCTTGGATAATTCATAGAGGTGTGGGTAATGCAATATATCTATATATATATATATATATATCTTATCTATATCTAACGTTATTTAGGACTATCCATGTAATTATATCTAGTGTTATTTAACTATGTAACTAAACCGCAACCGAAATAACCTTGGAAATCAACTGGACTTGGATATCTAGATCAAAGACGTTTCACCTCTCATCCAAGAGGCTTCATCAGTTCTGACTGACTGGTGTTGAGTCGGAGATATTTATCCCCCTCGGTGTGGTTTCAGTCCTTAGAAGGCCAACACTGCCCATTAACGACTGAGTCGTTACAGCCCAGTATCAGTGAGGGTCGTTAAGATGAAAGACCCTGAACCCCAACAGGCCTATACAATTTAATCACTTCGTTGGGCTAGCCCCATCCTACACAGGCCACGTCAAACTGTGACGTCACCTGATATGCCAGCTTGGCAGCTGACCAGAGCAGTAGTCAAAACATGAAGAAAATAATGTGTGTGAATGTTGATTATGTGGTGTGTATCTAAAAACATACAGGACATTCAGGGACATGTCCGAACAGTAAGCCTCGGAAGATATTATGATTAAGATTAGGCTGAACATAGCAATAATAATAGCAATATTCATCCTGCCTGCAGACTCTTCAATCTAGTTGACCTTGAGGCCCACATGCAGCCTGCAGCAAGCTCATGACAATGAACTAAGCATTTAACAGCCTGAGCTAGACATCCTGTCTACCCTACACATTTCTAGACAACAAATCTCTAAATATCTACCTAACTAAGAAAATACCTAACACTAGCTATCTATTGATCTGTCTCTATCTACAGTGATTCTCCACTAAATACACAATCTGCTACAACACTACTAACTCTCAAAGCAACTAACAGCAACATCAGTAACAAACCAACCTGTTCTGCAAAGACAGATTCAAATGAACGCCACTAAATAGGGATATCCTGCCTCTGAACACACTCGATTCAAAGTGATTCATGTGACAAACCAAACCAATCAGCTGATTCACATGACATCCGACGAATCCAACTGCTTCGGATGTCACTCAAGTGATTCAAACGTCACTAGTCACGTGACAGAAACACGCCTTGGCACAGTGGTTCGAAGCACTTGCTTTATAAGCTACTGCGCATGTGTCGGAACCTCGGGTGTCATAGGGCCATCACTAACTGCCACATCCCTTTTCTTGGACTGCTCTTCTGGTAACGACACCTTGCCTGTACTACCGACTAGAGATTCTGCTTTGCCTTCCCTTCTGCCCTGCTGGAGACCCAGACTGTGGACCGAACAAAGTACTACTCTCTGCCTGACCCCTCCAGACTGTTTCTGTTCCTATCTGACTCTGTTCCTGAGGAAGACATTAAAATCTGTTCTGCTGTCCCAGCTTACTGGCTCTTTAATTGGGTTCACACCTCCACCTTCATGGGAGCTCTACACACCCCTCCCTGACAGTCTCCATAACAGAGCATGAATGGAACAAAATCTCCAGAGCTCAGTCTCTGTCCATAGGGACAGGCGTGAGCTCCACTGCTGTCCCCCTCCCTTTCAATAGGTCAAGCACATCGGAATGGCCAAATATATGACTTCACTCCAAAGATAATTCACACAGGTTTGCTCAAATATTGGTAAGTACATTTCTGTCTGCACAAAATAATGGCAGGGACATGTCCCTACTCTCCATATACAAAACTAAACCCTTTGTGCCAGCTTGCAGGGGTTTTCAACCAGTGGTTTGTGGTCCCTTGGTGGTCTGCAAAGGCATTGCAGGTGGTCCTTGACTATGCATTCAGTGATGTACTGTAGTTTCACTGTAGGAATCTTTTTTTTATTTT